TTTGTTACGGTTGAATTGCACTCCACAAAGTCCTTCAATGGCTAAGTTTTCAAAAGTAGATCACCAGGCCTTTCTTCCAAAGACCCTCTGGGTGGACTTGAACCTCCAACCTTTCATTTAACAGTTATGCTAACTACCCACAACACCCAAGCCTCCATTGTGTCTTCAGTGCCCAAGAAGGAGTTTTGGTGTTGCGCTATAAGGTAAGCCTTTGCTAATGGCAAGGTAGGTAGTTCAAACCCACTAATCACTCCTTGAAAACCCTAAACAGGGTTGCTATGAGTTGGCACCAACTCGGTGGCACTTAACAACAACAGCTAACAAGGTGTGAAATGTGAAAACTCAGATGCAAAAATTTGAAAACGTAGATGCAAAACTGAAAACTTAGATGCAGTGCTCCAACCAGCAAGCTTCAATTCAGGTATTACAAATGTCAACAAAAGTAAACTAAATAGGTGTGTGATTCTGGAAGCTGTGTTTTGTGGACTCAGGGGTCCCTGATTTAAGAGCATCTTTGAGGGGAGAAGGGACAAGCTGGGACAATTGAGGCGAATGGGGACAGTGAAGAGCTGTGTGGAACACAGTAGCTGGTGGGTGGGTTTGAACTGTAAATCTATCTTTTAGTAATTAAGCACTAAACTGTTGAACCACCAGGACATCCTCTTCTAGTTCCACTATTTTACAACTCAGAAAAATCTACAATGGATCAAAAAATGAAAAAAAAAGGAATACAACTTTTCTAAAGAAGAAATTGGAGGGAAGATAATCCAAGAACGTCTAGTTGATCTGATGCTAATTCAAAAGTTGTTGTTGGGTGACACCTAATTGGTTCCAGTTCACAGAACCCCTGTGCACAACAGAATGAAACACTGTCTGGTCCTGCACCAGCCTCGAGATCTTTGTTAAACTTGAGCCCATTGCTGTTTGCTGCCACTGTGTCACCCATCGCATTGTACCTCTTTGTACATTTTGCAGTAATATTGTTGTTGTTGTTGTTAGGTGCCATCGAGTCAGTACCAACCATAGCGACCTTATGCACAGCAGAACGAAACACTGCCTGAACCTGGGCCAACCTCACTACTGTTGCCACGCTTGAGTCCATTGATGCTGCCACTTGGCCAACCCATCTCGTTGGGGGTCTTCCTCTTTTTCTCTGATCCTTCACCTTACCAAACATGATATCCTTCTTCAGTGACTGCTCCCACCTCACAATATGTCCAAAGTATGAGAAATGAAGTTTGGCCATCTTGGCCTCCAGGGAGCACTCTGGCTGCACTTCTTCCAAAACAGATCTATTGGTTCTTTTGGCAGCCCATGGCACTTTCAATATTCTCCTCCAACACCATCACTCAAGACATCAATTCTTCTACAGTCTTCCTTATTCACTGTCCAGCTTTCGCATGCATATGAGCTTAGTGAAAATACCATGGCTTGGGTCAAGTGCACCTTAGTCCTCAAGCTGACATCTTTGCTCTTCAACACTTTAAAGAGGTCCTGTGCAGCAGATTTGCCTAATGCAATACGTCGTTTGATTTCTTGACTGCTGCTTTCGTGAGTGTTGGCAGTTTATCCAAGAAAAATGAAGTCCTTGACAACTTCAATCTTCTCTCTGTTGATAAGAATGTTGCTTACTGGTCCAGTGGTGAGGACTTTGTTTTTATTTGCAGTAGCAGTACAATCCAAATTCAGTGGGCAATAGCTAAGAAGGGATGGTGAGAAAATAGCCTTAAATCAAAACAACTAAACCCGTTGCCATTGTTATCTGTTCTCCATGGAGACCCTGCGTGTGTCAGAGTAGAATTGTGCTGCCTAGAGTTTCCAATAGCCAGGACTTTCTTCCAAGTTGCCTCTGGTTGGGCGTGAACTGCCAACACCAAAGACTCCATAGAAGTCGTCTTGTCCAGATAAAAATAAACAGCTGAGCTTCTGCAATCATTAAAGAGGGCAGTGTGTGTGGAGGTACGTACCCCAAACCAAACCCATTGCCAGTGATGGAGTCAATTCTAACTCATCTAGACCCTAGAGAGGGTTTCTGAGACTGTAAATCTTTACAGGAGCAAAAAGTCTCATCTTTCTCCCGCAGAGGGATCAGTGGATTTGAACCACTGACATTGCAGTTAGCAGTCCAGTGCTTACCCTACAGTGCTACTGGGGTTCCTTGGAAGTACATAAAGAAGCTAATTGAAAGTGAGACAAATGTGTGTTTCTTCAAGTATCCAGGAAGACAAGATAACCTGAGAAGCAAATCTTCTAAGATTGAACTGGTAAACTGTATGCCCCTAAGGAAAAAATGCACAGGAGTGTCAACTTCCCTAACACTGGTATCTTTTCTGTAACCACAAATCCTTAGGTAAATGAATAAAGAAAGAAATGGATGAATAAATAACTATCACACAGAGCAGAGAGAGAAGTTAGGAAGAAGAAAGCAAGGAGCGGGGAGACAAGAATGTCCTGGTGTGGCGCTGTGGGTTAATGCACTGGAATGCAAAGCCGTTTGAACCACAAGGTCGGTGGTTCAAGTTCACCAGCTGCTCCTCAGAAACCCTATCTATACAGGGTCGCTATGGGTTGGAATCGACTCGACAGCACTTAACAACAACAACAACAAGGAACAACAGTGTGAGACGATTGTGAGACAATGCCAATAAAGCAAATGCTAATAAAGACAATGTTTCAAAAAGTTTGTGGAAAACTGGAGTTAAAAGACAATGGAATGCTCCCAGGAACCCTATACAGAGTCGCTATGGATTGATACGCTGGCTATGGGTTGAAACACTCTTGTATATCTTACAGGATCAGGAAAATAAAACCCTAATCAGAAAACCCCAAAGTACAAAACCAGAGAATGGTGTTAATATCAAAACCAACCTTTTTGTTTTGTTCATACTTTTTTTGATGAGTGTGGAACATATATTATTACTGTTGGGTGTCTCCATTCAAAGAAACATGAGAAGCAAATATTCATCCTTAAGGAACGGATACATTTGGAGGTAGCAGAAGTCTAAGAAGATCCTCCGGATAGTGCAAACGGTGAATGTGCTTGGTTGCTATCTGAAACACTGGAGGCTCAAATTCACCTAGAGACACCTCAGAAGAAAGGCGTGGCAATCCAATTCCAGGGAAAAACCACCCTTGAAAACTCAAGAAGCACAGTTCTATTCTGACATACATGGGGTCCTCATGAGTCAGAATGAGTCAACACCAGCTGGTGTGGCTGTGGGTATTTTAAAACTGACTTCAGTGATTAATAATTGCATCCTTTAAATTGCAAACTTTTCTAGCATCTTTGTTTAGTGGGAGGAGAGAGCCCAGCTGTTTCATCCTGCAGGCAAGAAGTGTATTGGCAGAACTGGTTGAAAGGATGCGTCTAAAAATATTTTTTTTGGTGAGGTGGGGTGGGCTGGTGGGTGGGTACAAACCTGAGTTACCAGTATTTTCCATCCTGTTTTTAAAGAGGGAACTGAATGGCGACCATGTTCCACAGTGCCACCTAGTGGTCGTGGGGGACGGGGCCGGAAGCGAAAACAAGGCATTTGTCGTTCCGGAGCCTAATCTGTGTGTCAGGGAAGAGCGAGTTGGGCAGGATGAACTGCAGCCTCTATGTTGTTGCTGTTAAGAGCCGTCGGGTCAGTTCCAACTCTTAACAACTCTGGATAGGGTTTCTGAGGAGCTGGTGAGTTTGAACCACCGACATTGCGGTTCAGACCTTATCCTACAGTGTCACACCAGGATTCAGGGCTGACACTCCACCACGTGGATATGGTTCCCAGCCTGCATCTCAGGGACCTTCTCAAGTCTAAAGCCAGGGCGTCTCTATGAGGTTATATAGAAGGTATGAAACCGCTAAACTGGTGTCTGAGATTTCTGTCTGAGAATTAACAGGAACCAGTCAGACACAGAAATGCACAGTTTTATACAATTTTATAACCCTGCAGGCACAACAGTTAAGCGCTGCGCTGCTAGGCAAAAGGTTGGCGGTTTATACCCACCCATCGTCTCTGCAGGAGCAAAACCTGGGGATCTGCCCCTGGAAAGCCTAAGGGGGAGGTTTACTCTGTAATGCCAGGGGTCCTCAGGTGTCAGAATCTATTTGACAGCACTCGACAACACAGTAAGGAGTTCTGGTGGCACAGTGGTTTAAGTGTT